GTCTTCAATCCAGGTGTCGTCGCTCTTGTTTATTTTATTCGGGAGTTGGTACCTCCTATTCTTCAATCAGTCTTTCTATTTTTCTTGTTAATCGATTAGTTTGGGATAGTACTTGTTCTCTTAATTAGTTTATTGCATGTCTACTTTTTTTTATAGTAACTGTTTTGTGATTCTAGTCGGTAGATTTTAGTTCTTTTAATTACTTGTACTAGTTAGTGCATTCACCTATTTTTCTATCCTTTAGTTGTAGGTTATAGTTCCTTTGGTTCCTTTATTTTATTTCTTCACCTGTTTTTCTATCCTTTAGTTGTATATTATAGTTCTTTTAGCCCCTTTGTTTTATTTCTTCACTTGTTTTTTTGACCTTTAGTGGTAGGTTATAGTTCACGTTAGTTCCTTTAGTTTATTTCGTCACATGTTTTGTGACCTTTAGTGGTAGTTTATAGTTCCCGTTAGTTCCTTTATTTTATTTCTTCACCTGTTTTGTGATCTTTAGTGGTAGATTATATTTTGGTAATTCATTGTATCTTTGGTCGCTTTTTTTTCGGAATAGCGCTTGCGTAGTGACTAATAGATTATAGTGGCTTTGGTGAACGATGGTAGGGTAAGGTCTTGTCCTCAGATGTGTCAGCGTAGGGGAGGGGTTGCGGGGGGTAAGGGGGCTAAGGGTGCTACTAGGTTGAGAGTGTGGTCTTGGAACATGGGAACTTTGACAAATCTGTATAGCTAGCGAAGATTCTCGAGAAAAGGAAGGTTAATATAGCTTATGTACAAGAGACTAGGTGAGTAGGAGATAAGGCGCGAGATGTGGGTAGTTTCAAACTTTGGTATTCTGGGAGGGTGGGGGCAGGAACGGGGTAGGTATCTTGGTTGATAACGACCTCCGTGAACTAGTGGTGGAGGTTAGGAGGGTGAATGACATGCTGATGACTATTAAGCTAGTCGTTGGTGGTTTTACTTGAACATAATCAGTGCGTACGCACCCCAAGCAGGCTTGGATGAGGAAGTCAAGAGGCGTTTCTGGGAGGACTTAGATGAGATGGTGTGTGGTATCCCGCACACCGAGAAGCTTTTCATAAGAGGAGATTTCAACGGCCACATTAGAGCGACGCTTGGGGGTATGATGATGTGCACGGTGGCTTTGGTTTTGGAGATAGAAACGAAGGAGGAACGTCTCTGCTGGACTTTGCTAGAGCATTTGATTTGGTGATAACAAACTCGAGTTTCCCGAAGAAGAGGGAGCACTTGGTCACCTTCAGGAGTTCGGTGGCCGAGACTCCGATTGATTATGTACTTTGTAGGAAGTCTGATAGAGGTCTTTGCACGGATTGCAAGGTCATCCCAAATGAGAACCTCTCGACCCTTCATAGGCTCCTGGTCATGGACCTTGAGATCACGAGGAAGAGGGCGATGTATAGCCAACATAGGATAAAGTGGGGAGCCTTGACGGAAGCTAAAGCGCAAGAGTTGGGGGTCAAGCTGGTGACTATGGGGGCTTGGAAGACTAGTGGGGATGCAAGCGCTATGTGGACCATGACTGCGCAGTGCATTAGGGAAGCCGCGAGAGAGGTATTAGGGGTCTCAAAGGGTTACTCTGGTGGTCACAAGGGAGACTGGTGGTGGAATGGAGAGGTGCAAGGAAAAGTGGATACCAAGAAAGCAGCGTATCTGAAGCTAGTGGAAAGTGTAGACAAGGAGGAGAAGAAGGCGAATAGGGAGCATTATAAGTTGGCTAAGAAAGAGGCTAAGCTAGCAGTTACGGCGGCAAAGACTGCAGCTTTTAGTCGGCTGTATAAGGAACTCGAGGGCCGAGGTGGGGATAAGAGGTTGTTCAAGTTAGCCAAGGCGCGAGAAAGGAAGGCGCGTGACTTGGACCAAGTGAAGTGCATCAAGGATGAAGAAGGTAGAGTTTAGTTGGATGAGGGGCTTATCCGTCGGAGATGGAAGACCTACTTCCATAGTCTCTTGAACGGGGTCGGGGACAGGAGCATTGTACTAGGTGATTTGGAACTCTCCGGGAGTCGTTGTGACTTTGGGTGTTGTAGGCGGATTAGAGTTGATGAAGTTGAGGGTGGTATGCGTAAGATGAGTAGGGGCAAAGAGACTGGGCCGGATGAAATCCCCATGGAGTTTTGGAAGAATGTGGGCAAGGCGGACTTGGAGTGGCTCACTAGGTTATTTAATGTCATTTTTAGAACGAAGAAGATGCCCGAAGAGTGGAGGTGGAGCACGATGGTTCCTATATACAAGAACAAGGGTGATATCCAAAATTGCAATAATTATCGAGGTATCAAGCTGCTTAGCCATACTATGAAAGTCTGGGAGAGAGTGGTAGAGCTAAGGGCGAGAAGGAGTATGACTATTTCGGAGAACCAATTTGGGTTTATGCCAGGGGGTTCGACTACAGAAGCCATCCACCTTGTTAGGAGATTGATGGAGCAGTATAGGGAGAGAAAGAAGCACTTGCATGTGGTGTTCATCGACTTAGAAAAGGCGTACGATAAAGTTCCGAGGGAGGTTTTGTGGAGATGTTTGGAGACTAGAGGTGTTCCTGTTGCCTACGTTAGGTTGATTAAGGACATGTATAATGGAGTAAAAACTCGAGTGAGGACGGTGGGGGGGGGGGGGAGGGAGGGGACTCAGACCATTTTCCAGTTATGATGGGGTTGCATCAGGGGTCAGCACTCAGCCCATTTTTATTTGCTTTCGTGATGGACGTACTGACGCGCCACATCCAAGGGGAGGTGCCGTGGTGCATGTTATTTGCAGATGATATTGTATTGATTGACGAGACGTGAGATGGATTGAACGTGCAATTAGAGGTATGGAGACAGACCCTGGAATCCATGGGATTCAAGTTGGACAGAATACTCGGAGTGTAAGTTCAGCGGCGAGACTCTAGGAGAGGAAGGGGAGGTGAGACTGGACTCGCAGGCCATCCCTAGGAGAGGGAGTTTTAAGTACCTCGTGTATATTATTCAGGGGGATGGGAGATTGATGAAGATATCGCACATCGTATTAGGGCAGGATGGATGAAATGGAAACTCGCTTCTGGTGTTTTGTGTGACAAGAAGGTGCCACCGAAACTTAAGGGTAAGTTCTACGAAGTGATGTTCAGACCAACGATGTTGTATGGGGCTGAGTGTTGGCCAGTCAAGATTGCTCATGCCCAAAAGATGAAGGTAGCAGAGATGAGGATGTTGAGATGGATGTGCGGGCACACCAGGTTAGATAAGATCAGAAATGAGGTTATTCGCGATAAGGTGGGGGTGGCCTCTATTGAGGACAAGATGCGAAAAGCGCGGCTTATGTGGTTTGGTCATGTGAGGAGGAGGGCACAGACGCGCCGGTGAAGAGGTGCGAGAGGTTGACATTGGAGGGCCGACGGAGAGGTAGAGGTAGGCCAAAGAAGAGGTAGGGAGAGGTGATTAGGTAAGACATGGCGTAGTTTCAACTGACCGAGGACATGACCATTGATAGGAAGGTATGGAGGCCGAGAATTAGGGTAGTAGAGTAGGTAGTGTAGAGTGTTCATAACATTAGTATTGGCACGCAGACTCGTTTTCTGCTGGTAGTAGGTTTTTATGACTAACCGTTATTTTCTTTCATTGGTGATCACTTTACTGTCTTGTTGTGTTATTCTGCTTTTATATGGCTTTTTGATACGTCACTTCTTGCCTATATTTTTATTAATGTGATACTTATACTATCTTGAGTCGAGGGTCTATTGGAAACAACCTCTCAATCTTCACAAGGTAGGGGTAAGGTTTGCGTACACACTACTCTCCCCAGACCCCACAGTGTGGGATAATACTGGGTATGTTATTGTTGTTGTTGATGTTATATATGACCATAACAAAAGGGAAAAAATGTCTTATTTGATAATTAAACTATTCATAAAAAAATAATACACATAAATTAAAGTTTGTTAAGAGTTGGGCGGGTTGGGCTATGACTTTTGGGCGGGTCATTGACCCGCCCATTTTGGCATGTCCAAAATCAGCCCCCATAATTTACCCAATGGCACTTACTGGGTTGTTTGAAGCTTCTTCTTTTGTTTTCCACTGCTTTAAATTCTTTTCGTTTTTCGTTTTTGTTAGTATTCAAGCTTTCTCTCTCTTGTTTTCTCTTGGCGCACGTTAACATGGCCTTGCTAACGTACACAGCTGGAAGCCACGGGAGGAAGAGGATGACCTAAACGGAATCTTATGAAAATTCTGACTACTGATCGAGATCAACAGATGCAAGAAAGGCAGTAATGGAGTTATTTGTATCACCAAAAGGGGTGAGAATTGAAGAACCAACAGGAAACACTACTCCAAGGAGCATGCTGAGTGAGCATAGCAAGCTAGAATCAGATCCAGCAAACAAAAATGGTAAGATGAAAGCAGTGATAGCTACACCTGTAGCTACTAGTGGACTAGGTTGTGGATCTGGGAGCGGGAAGGCACAGATGCAATTGAAGACGCCAAATAGCAATGAAACAGTTCCATACAAAGTTGATACTGTAGAAATCCTCAAAGGTACTGATCAAATTGAGAAGGTAAGTGGGAATCAATCATGGGCAAATGTTGTAGCAGGGAATAAATTGGCAATGAGAGGCATGAATCTTCAATATATAGCACCGATGATTCAAGATGGGGAGAAAATTGTGAAGCTAGATCTTGAGGATGTTGAGCAGGAAAATGCAAAATGGAGCTCAACAATAGTACTGTATGTAATTGGAGATTCACCTACCATAGGAGCAATGGAACGATTCATAAATTCAGTGGGTAAATTCTCCACCAAACCTCAGATCTATTATCATAATGAAGACTATTTTGTACTCAGATTTGTAAACTTGGAAGAAAGGAACCAAGTGTTATATACTGGGTCTCACACTATCAATAACCGTCTCATTGTGATGAAAGCATGGACACCAGACTTAATCTGCATGATGAAGTACTGAGAACCATTCCTTTGTGGGTGAGGTTCCCAAATTTCCACTCAATTGCTGGAGTATGAAGGCACTAAGCAAGATAGGGAGTGCATTGGGAAATCCAGTGTATGCTGATGATTGTACAACTGGTACAGTTAGAATTTCTTATGCGAGAATGTTAATTGAGATGGACATCACCAAGCCCCTTCCTAGAAGAGTGAAAATACAGGACCCAATGGGTAATACAATTGAACAAGAGATAAGTTATGATTGGGAGCCAACCTATTGCAACAAATGCCTAAAGATAGGGCACAATTGCAATGAAAACAGAATACAACAACCATAAAAGCAGGCATATAGGAGGGAGAGAAAACAAAGGCAAACAGGTCTGGCAGAGGACTGTGAAAGATGGACCTAAAGACAATAATCAGGAGAAGGAGCAAACAAAGAGGATGGAAATAATAAAACCACCAGAGAATAGACCAGTGCAGGTTAGTGCAGATGCAAAACAACCTGAAGAAGAAGGATGGACAACAGTTAGTGGGAAATCAGCAGCAAGAATGGCTAAAGCAAAGCAAGCTGAAGAACAGACGCTAGCTGGCAATAATGGTTTTCAATCCTTAGGGAGTGAAAAAGCAACAAATGAACCAGGAACAAGCAGTATGCAGCTGAGGAGCTATGGGGCACAGGAGATGTATCAGGATACCCAATTCATACCAGTATGAGTGTGGTCACATAGAATGTTAGAGGTTTAAATAAAGCATACAAGCAAAAGGAGATAAAGGAGTTCATAAAGCAAAATAAAAAGGTAGTGATAGCCTTAGTAGAACACAGAATAAAGGAACAGAAAGCTAGTAGTATAATTAGTAAAATTGCTCCTGGATGGCAGTGGATATCCAATTTCAGCAACAGCAATAAGAGCAGAATATGGGTACTATGGGATCCAAGAATATTTGAGTTTGAATCAATTGACATAGATGACCAAATCATACATGGACAGGTCAGAACACACTCAAGACTACTAGCATTTGGGTTTACAGCAATATATGGTTTGCATACTATAAAAGATAGGTTGAGTATGTGGCAGAAGTTGAAGCAGATAAATAGCTTGCAGCAAGGACCATGGCTAGCAATGGGAGATTTTAATGCAGTATTAAATAGTCAGGATAGGCAGCATGGTACTATAATACAAGATATGGAAAGAAAGGATTTTAGGGAGTTCATGAGTGACACAGGAATGAATGAATTACCTACTATGGGAAGGGACTACACATAGACAAATAACCATACATACAACAGAACAAATAGAGGATTGGTAAACATTGACTGGATGATGACAATGCCTAGCCTGAGTATACAAATCCTAGAACCATATTTCATTGACCATTCCCCACTTCAGCTGATGATTTCACAAATGCAGAGGAAGAAAGCCAGTCCATTCAGATTTTTCAATTGCATTGTTGAGCATCCTCAATTTATTCAAGAAGTATATCAAGCATGGAGAACAATTGGGAAAGATGGGAAGCTACAGGGAGTATGGAATAAATTAAAAAGAGTTAAGCAAGTTATTAAAGGGCTTAACACTCAACACTACAAAGGTGTTGAGGACAGAATCAAAATAATCAGAAAGGAGCTGCAGGAAGTGCAAGAGAAAATGAGCAGCAGATTGCTGAATGTAGAACTAACTGAGGAAGAAAAGGAACTAAAGAGCAAATTAGAGGAATGGATACTGATAGAGGAAAGTATCTATAGACAAAGGTCAAGAGTGCAGTGGCTGAAGTTGGGTGATACCAACTCTGCATATTTCATTGCTCACATGAAGAACAGGAACAATTTGAATGGTATTCATGCTCTCACAAATGACCTTGGGGTACATCTACATATGGAGGAGGAAATAGAGTCAAAAATACTTGGATACTATAAGCAATTTCTAGGGTCAAATGCTCGTGCAATTCCAGCAATAGATCCAAATGTAATGCAAAGAGGGGCAGTGCTCAAAAGAGAACAACAAGTTAAACTGATCCAACCTGTCACCAGACAAGAGATATAGAAAGCTCTACAAGGCATAAATGATTTCAAAGCTCCAGGATATGATGGGCTCAATGCAGTTTTCTTCAAGAAGTCATGGCATATTATAGGAGAGGAGGTAACACAAGCTGTGCTGAATTTCTTTGAGACATCACAGATGTTTAAGCCAATTAATTGTACCTTAATAACTCTAATTCCTAAAGTCAGAAACCCTGCTAATATCAAGGAGTACAGACCTATTTCATGTTGCACCACACTCTATAAAATTATCTCAAAAGTCTTGACTAGTAGGTTACAAGGAGTTATGGATGATCTAATAGATAAGACCCAGTCTACTTTTGTCCCTAGAAGAGTAATTGTTGACAACATCATTCTAAGCCATGAATTAGTTAAAGGGTATGGAAAGAAAGGAGTATCACCTCGATGCATGATGAAGTTGGACATGCAGAAGGCATAAGACTCACTTGAATGGCCATTTCTTGAGCAGGTTTTGAATGCACTGGCTTTCCCAGATTAGTTTGTGCAATGGATAATGGCTTGTGTGCAGAGTGTTACATATACTATCATGTTGAATGGCTCACCAACTCAGCCTTTTGAAGCCAGGAAAGGACTTAGGCAGGGGGATCCACTATCCCCCTTTCTCTTTGTGCTGGCAATGGAGTACTTTACAAGAAGACTAAAGGCATTGCAACACATCCCAGATTTCAATTATCATCCTAAGTGTGCAAAGATGCAAATCATGCAGCTTGGATTTGCAGATTACCTTTTGTTGTTTTTCAGAGGTGACAATGGCTCAATTAAACTACTATACAACTGCTTTCTGGAGTTCTCAAAAGCTTCAGGATTGAAAATCAACAAGAAGAAAAGCTCCATATTCTTTGGTGGAGTATCACAAGATATGCAAGCAGACATATTGAAGTTCTTAGGCATTCAAAAAGGGGAGTTGCCAGTAAGATACCTGGGAGTACCCTTAAGTGCTAAAAGGGTCTCACTAGTTCAATATCAATCTCTAATAGACAAACTAGTGGACAGAATTACATCCTGGACAGCCAAGTTATTGTCATATGCAGGGCGACTTCAACTCATCAAAAGTGTATTGTTCTCCATTCAAACCTATTGGGCCCGGATATTCATGCTGCCAAAGAAGATTACCAAGTTGATTGAGGCAATTTGCAGAAGTTTCTTATGGACAGGGGATAGCAACATTTCAAAGAAAGCTCTACTAGCTTGGGAGAAAGTTTGCCAACCCAGATCAGCAGGAGGTTTTAATGTAATGGATATTGATCTATGGAACAAAGCAGCTGTAAGCAAGTAATTCTGGAATCTATGCAAAGAAAAGAACAAGCTATGGATACAATGGGTGCACTGCTACTACATATAGAATAAACATATTTGGGAGGTGCAACTGAACCAAGCATCATGGATTATGAGGAAGATAGTGAGAAAAGAGAATTTTGAGACAGCAGGATATAACTATGAAGATATAAGGCAGATGCATGATTGCTTTATCAAGCACATATACCATAAACTACGAGGTGACTTTAGCAAAGTGAGCTGGAGAAAATTGGTATGCAACAATCTAGGGTGTCCTGGGTGGATATTCATGCTAACTCTGGTGGCAAATGGCAGACTATACACAAAGGATAGATTGCTAAAGTGGGTATTCAAACTGATCAAACATATCCTCTATGCACAGGCAAATGAATCTATCCAACATCTATTCTTTGAGTGCCAATATGCGGCTGAACTATGGAAGAGGATGCTCAAATGGCAAGGTATTAGCAGGAACATATATGGTTGGTCTGAGGAGCTGAAATGGGCAGAAAATTGGACAAGAAGCAAGAATGCAAAAATATAGCTGTTCAAGATGGTATTAGCAGGGTATGTATATTTTGTTTGGCAGGAAAGGAATGCAAGACTATTTCAAGCTAAAGCGAGGAACTGGGAGATAATTGGCAAGCTAATAGTACAAGAAGTTCATTGTAGAAGCAACAAGAAAGTAGGAAAAGCTCTAAGTAAACTGGATTACTATCCAATGTAATAGCTAGAAGGAACCGAAAGATAGCAATAGAATGTAAAGAGGGGGGGGGGGGTGAGGAAGTATAGGAAACATAGGAAAATATGTAAGGGTTTTGTATTGATTGTAAATATTTTTCCTGGTATATAAAAGTTTAATTACAAAAAAAAATCTTTTTCGTTGCCCTTTGCTTGCTAATTTCTTTTCCTGCTAAGAGACTGCATACGTTTCTCAGGATTCAACAATATATTACTTAAAAGAGTCATTTGTTATTTTTTGCTTTGGCACTTTTCTTCTTTCTCCTCTATGTTTGAATGTAGTTAATAAATCTCCTTTCATTTTCATTTTGCATTCTCAAAGTTCTATTTTCTGATATGCCATGTGCTTACATCACGTATGCAGCAAATGTGCCTTGGAAGATGCATGCAAAGTTTGTGAATTTAGTGCGTTTGGAAAAGTCTGCTAGCAAAAATTTATAGCTGGCTGTTCTGTTGTAACGGAGGTTATTATGTAGCCCCTCCGCCCCAATTTATACGAAGGTGTAGGGGTGTCAAATGGGCGGGTTGTATCGATTTTGGGCGGGTCAAAATAGGTTGAGTTAATGATTTGACGGGTCAAAATTAGTTAAGCTAAGAAGGACTGGGTCAAAGTAGGATAAAATTTGGATCATAGACCCGTCCAACTCTTATTAAGCTTTACTTAATATGTGTTGTTTTCTTATAAATAGTATAGTTATTAAATAAGACTTTTTCTCTTTTATTATGATCATACATAATATATCAAACAAAAAAAGTTATTTCTAGATATTTTGGCAAAGTTACTCATAGATCAATTTGGACTAAAAAGCAGCCCAACTTTAAATTGGCTGAGATGAGTTGGGTCAAGATGGGATGAGTGCAATAAATGGGTAGGTGTATAATCAGCCCAACCTTGGGCGGGTTGGACGGGTCATTTGGGCTTGGCCCAAATTTCACAGCTCTAATTGAGATAAAAATAGCACGGGTTAGCCACTTTTCGAACTGGTAATTGAAAAATACCCAGCGTTTGTAAAGTCATTCAAAAATAGCCACTATTTTGCTGCAACACGGAAAATTCCATCATAATATACTGGAGATTGGTGCACCACCGTATGAACTTCCAACATATTATGCTGGAACTCCAACACACGGAAAGTTCCAGCATAATATACTGGAGATTGGAGCACATGTGTATGAACTTCTAATATATTATGCTGGGCCAGTATATTATACTGGAACTCCAGTATATTATGTTGGAAGTCCAATATATTTATAATGGAACTCCAGTATATTATATTGGAATATTTTCAGTTTTGAATAGTGTTTTCGTTCAGATTTATCTTTACATGAAAAGTGAATAAAATTCGATTACTTTTGAAATTGTGGCTATTTTTCAATACCACTTGTAAATCTGGCTATTTTTGAATTGCTCCTAATTGAGTATGAAATTTAAGAAATAAAGAACGACTTTTAGAATTTATGGTCTAAAACAAATCATAGAAATTTGGGTGACTAAAAATTATTTCATTAAGACAGAAATGACAAATTTACATCTGAATTGTCACTAAATATAAAAAATATGTCACCCGAACAAAAAAGTATCACATAAATTAGGATATGGGGAGTAGAGTCCGGAACTCGTATATAAAATGCATATTGGTTGTTTTACATGTGTTTTATGTTCTTTTGTGTTTTTTTTTTTGTGATTAAACTGGTATGTTATTTTCATCCGGACTTAGATATTAGTGTGCTAAAAAATATATTTCAATTGAGAAATTATTATTATTTATTAAAAAAAATGTTAATAAGTTATTTTTTACTGCTGTATATGCATTTTTGTGAATGTTTTGTGATTAAATGTATTTGTTATTTTTATCTGGTTTATATTATTTATTTGCTTAAAGACTAGTAATATAGTGCCTTTTAGGGTAGTAAAATGTGGTGTCTTTTAGCGTAATAAAATGTAGTGCCTTTTAGCATAGTATCCCTGTAGTTTAATTATCTGTTATACTCAAAAATACGTCAAAATAACAGATAGATCAAACACAAACTCTGTCCAATTATAGCCAACGATCGTAACAAAATAACCTGAGAAAAGAACAATATTTTCTGGATATCTTGGTGCTACTGGGCCGCGAATATCGAGTCTGGAACCTATATGTGAATATTTAATAATTCAACATTGTATAATTATAAAAAATAATTATTTAATTTATAAATAAACATATAAAATTATAAAACTAACATGTAAAATAATAAAACTAACACATACAAGAATTCAGGATATTAATAATTAAATATTATATAATTATAAAAATTAATTATTTAATTTACAAACAAACATATAAAATTATCTTACTAACATGTAATTAATGTTGTTTAATTTACAGTAGACGACATGGAGGTGCCGCCTATTCATCCCGGACCTTCTAGCGATGAGCTACTGTTGCTACAGGGCGATCATAGGTCCGCCCACATATGGGAGGGAGAGTTGCTGCCCCAGACTCTCCGCGTCAGGAGTGTGGACGACATGTGAGACTTTCTGTAGGGCAAAGTTCTCCATCCCCGTGTAGTCAGACGCTTGGAGGATACGGGCTTCTACAAGATTTTGGAGATCGGGCGCCTGCAGCTCGATTGGTCTTTGGTTTCGGCCCTGATAGAGCAATGGCGACTGGAGACGCACAAATTCCACTTGCCCATTGGCGAGGCCACCATCACACTGCAGGAATTGGAGGTTATATATGGGCTGCCCGTTGATGGACACCCAGTTGCTCTACCCAGGGCATGAGAGAGATGAAAGGTGCGCAGTACCTGGACATGCTGCAACAGCTTACTAGTTTCTGGCCACAGGATGAGAATGCACTGGCTGGGGCCAGTCGTTTTTCGTTGACGACTATTCGAGTATTTGGAGATATTGCATCGTGACATCTATGGCGATACACCGGATTATCATGTTCACCGGTATACGAGGTTGCTGCTACTCCTTAT